GACTTAATTGACAGATTCAGTAGAGTAGCTGGATACAAGGTCAACACTCAAAAAACAATAGCCTTCTTGTACACAAATAATAGACTCACTGAGAGGGAAATTAGGGAAACAATTCCTTTCACAATAGCATCCAAAAAAATGAAATATCTAGGAACTGATCTAACAGAGGGAACAAAGACCTGAACACTGAATACTCCAGCACTCTGAAAAAAGTGTTCATAGAGGATATTAGAAAATGGAAAGACATTCCTTGCTCCTGGGTAGGAAGAACCAATATAGTGAAAATAGCCACACTTCCAAAACTGCTATATAGATTTAATGCATTGCCAATTGAAATTCCAACAATATATTTAACAGAACTTGAGCAAACAATCCAAAAATTCATTTGGAACTAGAAGAGACCTAGAATGAAAAAAGCAATTCTACACAACAGAGACAGGGGTGTCACAATCCCCAACTTGAAACTATACTATAAAGCTACTGTGATTTAAAAAAAAAAAAAATGAGCATGGTACTGGCAAAGAAACAGACCTGAGGATCAGTGGAATAGATTACAAGATCCAGAAACAACTCCAGACCCTCAGCCACCTCATCATTGAAAAAGCAGACAACCATCATCACTGGAGGAAAGATAGCCTCGTTAATAAATGTCGTTGGAAAAACTGGATTTCAACCTGCCAAGGATTAAAACTAGACCCATATCTATCACCATACACCAAACTAAGATCAAAGTTGATTAAAGATCTAAATATTAAAACAGAACACTAAACTTCCTGGATGATAAATTAGGTAGAACTTTTGAAGATATTGGCATAGGAAAAGACTTTATGAAAAAAACCTCAATAGCATGGGAACTAGCACAAAGAATCAACAACTCGGTTCTCATCTTATTAAAAAGCTTCTGCACTGCAAGAGAAACCACCAACAGAGCTAAAAAAACAACCTACAATGTGGGAAAAAATTTTAGCAGCTATATCTCTGACAAAGGACTACTATTTAGAATCTATAAAGAACTGAAAAAAATCAGAACCCCCCCAAATTTAAAGACCCATTTCAAAAATGGGCATCTGAAATGAACAGACATTTCTCAGACAAAGAAGTAAAAGCAGCAAATAAACATATGAAAAAATGTTCAACATCACTGGTC